GAGGTTAATTTACAGAACATCACAAAACTGCCCTTCAGGTGAAGGGGATGCTGTTGCCATGACTCTGTGTTCAGTCCCATGACAGGGGAGATTCTCTCCAAGCCTTTGTGTTTGTTTGGCCTGTTGGGGTGCAGACACCACAGCCAGGCTCTCTTGAAATCCCTGCAAGAGTGGGGACTTAGTGGTAAACTGCAGCTGGTAAGCCACAGAGCAGCTGTCAACCAAAGGAAAAGACAGAAGATTTCTTGTTGTTGACCCAAGAGAATGCACAGCTCTGTGCCAAGAGTCACCTCAGATGTCACACTGATGTCACCCACCTCCAAGGCATGACTACCCCCACTGAACAGGATGTAAAACCAGAGTCACACCAGCTCCACCTAAATGTAAAAATATTATAGAAGTAAGTTAAGAGTGGGGAGAAGTTAAGGAAAGCTCCACTGCAAGAGTCTGAATCTGTCTTTCCCCTTTAGGGGTGTCTGGTGGGTAAGAACTGCAGAAAGCTCCAATGCAAGAGTTTGAATCTGTCTTTTCCCCTTTAGGGGTGTCAGGTGGGTAAGAACTGCACTCTAAGTGTGAAGAATGATGAACTGCAGCCAGCTTGGGGTGTCTGGTGGGTAAGAACTGCACTCTAAGTGTGAAGAATGATGAACTGCAGCCAGCTTCTGTTAGCAATTAAAGCTGGTTAATATGGTGGGGTTTTTTTGCAGACAGATACTACCACCAGCAATCCTGGAACCTTAACCTGTTGTGATTTTCTATTACATTAATGTTGTTATTCCATAAAGGGTTCAGTGTGAGTCCTTCAAGGGCACCACCAGTGCCTGCAGTGAGTAACAGACCCAGCTGAGGAGACCTGGGACAGGGGTCTCTGACTGTGTGACCCTCCCCAGGGCACTGGAACCACTCTCTGATCCAGGGGACTCCCAGTGAAGGGTGCCCAGGACAGGATGCTGGCACTCTGTGGACCCAAGGGTCCTGGCACTGACAGACCAGTCAAACACAAAGGCTTTGAGAAAATCTCCCTTTTCAGGTGACAGAACATAAATGGAAAGAAGTTGAAGCAGATATGCAGATGCCAAAGAAAGAATATGCTCTGTTCAGTGAGTGAACAACCTAAAATAAATTAAAACAAACCCACAAGGATCTAAGAAGGATAACATTTGGGGAGTGAATGTGACACATGGATAACCCTGTGCTGTCTGCAAACGACACTGCAAGCTGCTCTCAAAACCAAGTCAAAAGCCTGGCATCACAGAAAGTTCTTCTTTTATCAATCCCTATGAGAAAACAGAGCAAGACAAGAACAAGTTTCCTTAAACCAGAACATTATTTCTGCAGGAATGATATCCAAATTACCTAAATTGGAAATTTATTTTTCTCTCTCCCCATATATATAAATACCTGGATGGCTGAGTGTATGCACTTTAACACATATAACACCCAGACAGGAAGAGAGAATACAGAAACTAACACAGCATTCTCAATTCCAGGCTCCTTTTACAGCAAGCAAAGCTGATGCTGCAAAGTAAGGAAGATGGTGACTTGTCTACTAAGAACATTTCAAACCTCAAGAATATTTACCATTTATAAGAGCAGGACATGAGAGCTGTGAATGGCGAATAGAAACCACATCACATTCATGTCCTACATTCTACTGGACTGAAATACCTTCTTCATGTGCCCAAATCTCTATCAAATAACTTCTGAAAAATTAAAAAGACCTGTACTCACTCACCTCATTTTCTGTTAGCTGATCAGGAAGCTCCTTCATTTCTGCTTCGACATTATCTTTATTATCAGACAGAGAATCGAGAATATTGTCAGGACTGTAATCTTCTCCACAGTCTACAGCACTGCTGTTATCTATTTCAGCTTCATCTAACACACTAATATCCATCATGTCAATATCCTGCAAGGTATCCAGGTTGGCTTCAATATCCTCCTACAGAGAGGAAAGGGTAAATGTGTGTTTATTGCAGTTACACGAGGCACATTCTCAGTAACTGCAATCATGATTTCTCTTACCTGCCCATCTCTAGAGTTTTCCTCTAGACCATTGTCTTCCACACCTTCTTCTTCTGGCTTTCTTCCTAAAAACAGTATCACTGCAGTGAGATGTAGCACTACATTTTGTACTATGTTTAAGCTTTGCTGAATTGTCTGTTACAAGAAGTAATCCCGAAGAGGCTGATCCAGGATGTAACTGAGGTCCCCTTGTACCTCCACAAAAGCAAACAGCAGGAGCACCAATTACCAGCAGCGTTTTTTTTTTAATGCTACAGTATTTTTTTAAAGCTACAGTCTCATTCCACCACACTGCCAATACCTAAAAAGACAACAGCCTCTGGATAATCCACTTAAAAGTAACACCTTAAGACTGTTATGAAAACACCTCCCTTAATTAAACGGATTTAAGAATTAGTGTTCACTTTCAAGATCTTGGACATACAAATCACATTTATGCACATCTGTCACCACCAAACTTGCACTGCTATTCAAAGATAACAGCTCTTTTTCTATTTTTAGCCCTCTATCTTAAAACAAGCAGCTTAATAATCTGTTTCTCATCAGAAAGTATTTTTAAGAAGCAGTTATCAGCAACTCAAGTAAGCCATGTGCAAAATGCCACGTACAATATTTAATATTTTGAAGCAACATATAGTTAAATATAGCTATAGTTTACATATAACTGAAATGTAATTATAGAAGCTTTCCATGGAGCTTATGCTGCAGCTGCTTGCTCTGTGCCTGACACAATTCTGCTTGTGACACAAATACAGAAACACCTGCATTTTACAGTTTCATCTTCGAGTTTCAAGACGTGCTAATAAAACACAGGTTTAAAGTTGTTATTTCTCATTAATGCAAGAGAATTCTACCATTTTCCATGAGGTAAGAAGCAACTGTTTTTTTTAAATTCAAAACTAATTTAAATTTTAAAATCAAACTAATTCAACAGGAGAAAACAAGTTTGTATGTCCAGTTCTAGCACCATGCAAACACTGGAACTGCAAGTCCAGACACTGTACCTTTGCTAGTTCTTTTTGGCATTCTCTTTGTGGTCAGCTCTGAGGCCACAGGAATTTCGTCAGGATCTCCTCCTTCCTCCTCAATGGCCTGTTGGAAACAGCAGGATGAGATCCACTGTATGAACTGCTGCTGTGCATAGGTACAGGCTTTGGATGGGGCAGTTAATTCTCTTCACAGCAGCTGACAGGGGCTGTGGTTGGAGCTTGTGCTGAGAACAGTGCTGATAACACAGTTATGTGGTGCTTGGCTGCCGGCTAGGGTCTAACCACAACTGCATTTTTTTAGATTTTTCAGAGAGAAACATTGATGTCTCTCCCTAGCTCAGGTGATACAGCCAGGCAGCTGTGAAACCTGTCAGAAATACTAAATAATAGGGTGCAACACATCCCCACAGGCACACAAAGCTACAGCTGGGGAGCAAAGCTCCCTGCTCTGCAGATAAGCACATCAACAGTAGAAAACCGGGAGAGAATCTCACAGGAGCTCAAGTTTGAGTTTTTCTCAACGTGCAGGCTTGTTAGAACCCATAAAAGGGCCAAGGCTGACCATGCTGTTCTGGCCTCACGGAAGTCTGTGGGAACACATTCCAGTGAGGTCGGAGGGATGTAACAGGGTCAAGTGCAGGGGTGCCAAACATCAGGGGAGAAACTGATGCACAGAAAGTTCCACCTAAACAGGAGCATAAAATTCTTTACAGTGCAAGTGAGCATGCACTGGAATAGATTGCCCAGGGAGAGTGTGGAGTCTCTCTCACTGGACATATTCAGGAACTGTCTGGACAAAATCCTGTATCATGGGTTCTGGGACAAAACCCTGCTGGAGCAGATGACCCACTGCGATCCCTTCCGAGCTTACCCATTCTGCGAACGGCACGGAGAAGCGCGACAAAAGGCACGGGGAAGAGGCACGTGTGTGCATGTCGGGGGAACGGGAGAGTAAAGCAGGGAAGGACGCGCGGACGCCGGGGTCAGGCAGCGACGGGAAGGCCGAGGCCATCTCACATTCCACCCAGTGCAACCCGAGCCGCGCTCAGAGCAGCGATGGAGCACGGGCGCCCACACCACAGAGCGGCGCCGTGAAACGGCTCTGCAGCGGCAGGAACAAAGGGGGCACGGCGGTGCCCAAAAACACCCCGCGGGTGCCCGGCGGCAGCGGCGGAGCCCCGCTCCCCTCAGGGCCGCCCGCTCCCCTCAGCGCCCCGGGCCCGAGCGCGCACGCGCCGAGAGCGCCGCAGACAAAGGACCCGGATGGCCGCACGCCGCTGCCCCCCCGCTTCCCCCGCCGCGCTTCGCCTCACCTTCCTCAGCCGCTCCATGAGGACGCTCTTGTTGCCGCCGCTGTCCAGGTTCCGCCGCTTGAGCTCAGCCCGCAGGTCGATGACTCGCAGCTCGCTCAGCCGCCGGGTTTCAGGCTCCGAACCAAAAGTCGCGGCCCCACCAAGGGATGTGAAATCCCCCAGTCCGGCCGCTGATTGACTCTCCGCCATCAAGGCCCCTTCGATATTTGGCCTCGAGCCCGAACGCGCAGGAGAACACGGCACAACCCAGCAGCGAACCTAGCGATCACGGCACAAAATGGTGGGGAGGGAGACGCGCCGAGGGGAGGGGGAACAAAGCGCGCTGTGCGCATGCGCGGGCGGGACTGAGCGGGCGGGGCCTGGCGGGAGACTCGCCCGCACAGGCGCAAACGGCGTCGCCCGCGTCCAAGGACGGCTCGCGAGCTGTCGCGCGTGCGCAGGAGAGGGACCGGGGGCCGGCCGGCCGCGTGACGTCACCGCCGCTCCGGAGTTGGCGGCACCGCGGCGCGCGCGGCCTGCCCGGGCCCCGGCGCGCATGCGCGCTGCGCCTCCCTCACTTTCCCGCCCCCTCGCTCTCCCCTGCGCCCCGGGTCTCCTCCATTTTGTGCTGCGGCGGCCGCTGCGGCTCTCCCGCCTCGCCTTCACCCCGCCTTGCCCCGCGCCAGCGAGTCCAAACCACGGCCCATGGCGGAGAGTCACTCACCGGCCGGGCTGGGGGAGGCTGCGTCCCTGGCTGGGCCTGGCGTCCCCGGTTCGGAGTCGGAAAGCCGGCGGCGGCCGCTGAGCGAGCTGCGCGTGATAGACCTGCGGGCCGAGCTCCGGCAGCGCAACCTGGACAGCGGCGGCAACAAGAGCGTCCTCATGGAGCGGCTGAGGAAGGTGAGGGCGGCCGGGGGTGCCTCAGGGTGGGTGGAACTGCTGCGACCCCGGCCCGGCGGGCACCGCTGAGGAAAATGGCGCCAAAGAGCGGCCGGGGCCGGGGCCCGGCGGGATCGGTGCGAGCGTCCGGTGCCCGGCGGGATCGGTGCGAGCGTCCGGTGCCCGGCGGGATCGGTGCGAGCGTCCGGTGCCCGGCGGGATCGGTGCGAGCGTCCGGTGCCCGGCGGGGCCGGGCCTGCGCTCTGCCGGCCCGGGCTCGCCCTGTGACCGCTGCTGGCACCGAGTGTCACCGAGCCCGCTCCGGTCGCAGCGCTCGGTGTCTGCCGTGGCGCTCGGCTGGGTATTCCCAGCTTCGTGCACCGGCGTTCTGCTGTTCTCTGAGCTGCTGCATTTACGGTGCTGTGCGCTTTCTGGGGGGATTTTTGCTGCGTACTGGTGTTTTTGTGGTAGCCCTTTCACTGTATCCTCATCACACCGTTTCGCCTGTTAATACCATGAGGAATCCCTTCTCTGATCTGCTTGCTGTGTCCTAGAGCCGAGGATTTTACCCTGTCACAAAACCCGTGTGTCTGTGAACAGTTCCAAATGCTGTAAGATTGACGATGAAGAGTTCTAAATGCTGAAAGGCTTTTTTTTTCTGATTATTTTCCCAAAACCTTACACCAACACATTACTGCCTTCTCCCTGCTTGTTGCTTTGCTCTGGTGGTTTTTTGTTTGTGTATCTAAGTTGCTGATTCATGGTTTGGAATTTTTCAGCCTCTGGTGTGCAGCTCTTAAACTCAACACAAACGTGCAAATGATTTTTTTAATGTCTGTTTTTATATCTGTCTTTCTCTTTTGCCCCTATTAGGCTATTGAGGAGGAAGGAGGGAATCCTGATGAAATTCCAGTGGTTTCAGAAAATATCATGAAGAAAACTCCAAAAAGAAGCAGCAAAGGTACAAGGCAGTTAGAGAGACTTTCCACCTTATCATCCTTGAGTTTTCAAGCAAGTTTACTCATGGAATGGAACTTTTATTATCTTTTTTTTTTGTTACTGATACTCTTTCCCACATTTGTTCTCAGGTTTCTAGGGATGGGTGATAAAATTAAAGTTAGCAGTCATTTATTTAGAGAATTTCATGTGATTTAGTAAGGGAGGAAATGTTGAAGGATCTGTTGGTTTGTTCTCAGAGTTCCCAGAAATTTGTATTAAGAATTACCAAGTAACACTGAAGCAGTGTCAGTGTTTTTAATACTTTTTTAATGTAGAAATGTAGAGTTTCTAGCAAATGCAAAATAAGCTCTGTAGTGTTACGCTTCGTAGCTGAAGCAGTTGCAATTTTCTTCTCAGAAGACAAATTTTTAATCCATTTCTGAAGTCAGATATGTTTTCAAGGCCTTATGTTTGGTTTTTGTAGTGGTGGGACAGTGTTATGTAATCCTTATTTTCAGAAAATAATTTACTGTTTTTCTAAAATTAGTTAATTAACGACATTTGATCTTATTTTGTAAGCAAATAGTGTTTAAACTTTTCATTGGAGCTGAGCAAAATAACTAGTTCAGCTAGAGTGTTTTTATTACTAGATTTAATTTACAGAAAACGTATATTTTGTGTAAACTGTAAATGTAAACTGTTTTGCTAGCTTATTTGTTTGATTTTTGTCATTACACCTGATTGGGAGTGATGGTGCAATTGCTTGCAGGTTAAAATGTGAAATCTTGACCACATAGAGGGCAAATGTCACGACTCTGGGTGAAACAGATCTTTTAAATCATATTAATTTCCAAGTCTCAGAAAAACAGCTGATGTCTATTACAGCACTTTTAGTGTGGGGATGGAAATAGATGAAATATTCCTCTTGGCTCTAAAATCCTTCTCACTTTTCAGTTGTAATGTGCTTGTAGTTTTTGAGGAAAAGAAGATTCATAAAAGGTCAAACAGCTGCTTAGCTCTGAGTTTGAGGAGTTGCTCCTCGGTGCTGAGGCTGGTGTAGTGTTTTCAGTAATTTCAGTAATTCCATTAATTGGGCTAATTCACATCCAGCTGGTGGGCAGAGCACTGCAGTGAAACCCACAGGTAAAGTGGGGTTATTTCGGTATTTTGTGCTGTGTTTTGTTTGTTTGGGTTTTTTTCCTTCTCATAAATGTCTGTAAAGAAGTGAAAGGTTGAGGTAATAAATTGCTGCAATCTGAGCTGAGCCCAGTGTTCTGGGGAGGTCACAGAGCTTGAGCTCCTGCCAGGTGTTGGACTGTGGCCTGTTTTCCTGGGGTGGTCACAAACAGGGAAAAAACTGAAGGGAGCACCAACTCTGATTAAAAAGTAAAGCTTGAGGGGTACAACTGTAATTTCTGCTCTCATTCTAATGATGGTATTGTTGTTAGGACGTAGAGCAGATGAAGAGGGAGTGGAGGACAATGGCCTGGAGGAGGATTCTGGAGATGGACAGGTACAGGGGGCTGCCTGTGCAGGGGATGCTGGCAGATGGCTCTCAAGTCACCCTGACTGTGACATGTGCTTTTTTTCTTTTCACAGGACGATATGGAAGCAAGTTTGGATAACTTGCAGGATATTGACATGATGGATATTAGTGTGTTAGATGAAGCTGAAATAGATAATGGCAATGCAGTAGATTGTGGAGATGATTACAGTGCCCATAATATCCTTGACTCGCTGTCTGATAGTAAAGAAAATGCTGATGCAGAAGTGAAAGAATTTCCAGATCAGCCTGCAGAGTATGCTGTAGGTAACTTGGAGGCATCCCCACAATTTTCAGAAATTAAAGAAGAATCAAGAGAAATACCAATAGTGATGGTAGGCATCTCTCATGTGTGTGGAATCAGGGTTTTCTTTTTAAAATTTATTTATTTCTGGATTAAATAGCAAAATGCTGAGGCTAAAAGAGTGCTTGGGAAAATAGCTAAAGAGTACTTGAGAGAATTTGGAGCTGTACTGGTTCTTATGGTCATTGCTTTTCTTTTTACATATTTGTGGAAATCAGTGTCTTAATTTTTAAAGTACTTACATGATTGCACACGTGATTTTATTAATAGCAGTTTACAGAGCATTTGTTTTTAATTGCTTTGAACTCTGCTTCACCTTATTAATGATAATATGCATATTATTCCTATTTTAACATCTTTATTTTAGAGAACATGTGAGGCATACAAATAGTGTAGCTTGCTTTCTTCTCAACTGAACAGCACCATCCAGGGAATGATATTCAAGGCTATTTTTCTGCTAAGATTGGGCCTTGCAGTTACTCAGTTGCTGAAATATTTTCATGTTGGCTTACTGTGTTCATCTGGCTGTTGACACTGGGGTAGAGGATAATCCCTTCCCCCAGAATCAAGTGCTTTACCTCCTGAAATGAGCAACAAAGCATTTGAAAAAAGTTATTTCTGCCCCATCTAATGGGGCAGTATTGCTCTTTGTTGTGTGTCCACATTGGCTACAAGATTGTAAAGTTGTGTGGTTTTTTTTTTCTAAAGCTGCAGAAATAAGCTTGGCCCCTATCCCCAGGCATATCCTTGTCCTACACAAATCAAGTGGAAATACTCAAAAAAAAGGGGGATTTTTTGAGTGAGTAAATGTCTTGAGGCCAGGTCAGCTCCCATTATCTGCTTTTATCAGTGAAGGAAATAATTACCAAGTCCTATAGGTTTTTTGGCTCTCTGATGTTGCTGTAAATGACAGGGATACAAATCAGAGAAATTTTGCTGTTGTAATCCCCATATTTAAAAGATTTTTGTGAGCTGACTGTCACAGTTAAGAGATAATGAGAGATTTTATTCCATCACTGGGGATCAGGAAGAGTCCTGGGGGTTATCACTCAGTTTTTACCATTATTGGTTGCTTTGGATGCAGGATGTGTTTACTGTCAGTGCAACTATAAATCTTCAGTTTCTCATTCAGGTTTCACTCACAATGTTCCTTTATAGATAACAAGATGTCTCCTGTTTATTTCTTAAAGGTAGAGTTTGAAGATGTTGGGAACAGTTTAGATGCTTCTTCAGCAGATTTAACCGTAATAAAGGTAAATGGTAGCCAGTTTTTCTTTACAAACAAAAAAAGCATAAAATACACTCTATAATACTGTATGGTGTAACAATGTGTGTATAGTGGGTGCATTCATCCTCTGCAAAGAATGGGAACTAATGCCTTTTGATTTATTCATAAAAACAAAGATTTATTTCTTTATCAGATCATATATGTATATTTATATATACATATATGTAAATATGTTTATGATGTATGTGTCATACTGAGTTTGGTGGTAGATTGGATTCCTTTTGTCTGATGTAAATACCAGCTCAGTGCCTTACATTCTGTTTAACTTCCATTAAAAATGTACATATCCCAGGGTGAGAAGAAAGCTGGAACTGTCTATTCCTGAAATGCTGGCCTTGTTTCCAGATCACTCCTGGTAGGTTAAGAGCACCAGCTCCAGGTGAAGCTGGTGTTTCTGTTGATCCTGTTTTCAGAAAGGAGACTTCAAAAAACACAGGGTAGAGAAGGGTAACATGAAGATAAGCTTTCCTCTGTGCTACTTGCATTTATTGATTTATTTATCCATGTGAATGTGTACCATGTGTTCAACAGGTGGCTGAATTTGAGAGGTTTTAAAGTTTTCACAGATTTCATAAAAATTTGAGGATGTTAAAAACTCATCTTAAAACTTTTTCTGAGAAATTCATTTGAATTTGAATGTTTTCAAAGCTGAAATAGGTTAAATTATAGTAATGCTTTCACTAAATATTCTCCTGTAATGGATGGATAAAAAATGTCATTCAGAATAGCATCTTGCTTATGAAATAGTGATATTTCTCCTTTTCAAAATCTTTTTCACTACAGGAACTTGAAGAGTTACCTTTGGAGCCAGGTACTGTTTGTTTTTGTTTGGTTACTTTGATTTATTTTTCTTTAATGGAAAAAAAAAAAAAACCTGGGCATTTAAACAGTTTCATTCTTCATTGAGGCTTTTTGCGTCCCTGTTTGGTTTTTTTGGTTCTTTTTTTTAATGCATTACTGTAGTGTACGTTATTATGGTGGAAAATCCAGGTCATGCAGGGTCATAGAGATTGGAAACCCAGTCATATCACCAGATCTGTGAATAACCACCCTTGGAAAACTTGTTTAATGCCGTGAAATGGTTCCCTAGAACTGTTACTGCAGAGTGAAGTTAAGGAATGAGCCTTAAAGATGTAAAGGTTCTGAAAACAGATCTTGTGATATCACACTGTACAGTGGTTCTGTGAATAAATATAAATACAGGAGTGTAGGCAGTGCAAAGCTCTGGTGCAGAACACAAATTAAGGAGTGACTGGACTTCAGAAGAAGGATCACGCTGCCATCAGGAATTTGCTACAGATCCCACTCGCTTTCTGGACTGCATACACACTCAGAACCATCAGAAGATGCCCAGTTCTCATGTTGGACTGTCTCTGCTAAAAGAACTTCACAGAAATTTGGAAAATTGAACTCTCAGTGCCTTGATACGTTCAGTTAAGCATCTCGGACTCTGGAAGCTAACTAGAGAAGAAACAGAGCTGAACGATTTGCTGAAGAATATGAAGGCTGAGCCCGAAGTTTTTTGTTAAATCAGTGGGGGCATTTTTCTTGGCTGTTGAGGTGCTAGGGCTGATTTGGCAGGGTGTGAGAGAGCAGTTAGCGTGGTAGCTGTAACACTGTGTACACTAGGGTTTTCCAATCTCTGTGTAGCTTAGCAGTTCTCTTGGTGTTAGTGTGGCAGCCATGCCAGTTCCACGTTTGTGATTGCTGTATTTCCCTGGTGATTAAATCTTGTGCCATTCTATTCCTGTTAAATCCGTAGAAAATGAGAAAATACTCGACATTTTGGGGGAAACTTGTAAATCTGAGCTACTTAACGAAGAACCTCCCGAAGCGGAGCGGCCGCGTGCGCAGGAAGCCAGTAACGCGGGGCCAGGCAAGAGGCTGGCTGAGGAAGAGGACGCTCTCGCTGCCGCTCAGCTGGAGGAAGATGCTTTAGCTTTGGACAGCAAATCGGCCCAAGCTTTGGCAAGGAAGGAAGCAAAGCGTTTAGTGGTAGCAAAAGGGGAGACAAGTGAACAGAGCCCCGAGGAAGAGGCCCCGGACTCTGAAGGTGTAGTGGTAGAGACCCTAAGCGATCAGAGTAGCAAACGCTCCCAAGGCCTGGAAGCCTCTAGTGGGGAGGCCGCGGAGAAAGGCGCAGGTGCCGAAGCCAGAGATAGCAAAGAAGATGGCAAGAGAGCAGAAGACAAAGCTAATTCTGAGGAATCTTCCCCTGCCACTAAAGAGTCCTCAGCCAGTGAGGGCGGTGATCAGAAAAAGAGGTTTGTTTTTTCTCCGTTCTAGACCAGATGCTATCTTTTATCATTGGTCCTTAAGTGATGCGAATAAGCTGTTTCCTTCAATTGGCCTCCGAGACTGATGAAATTGTAGCCTATTCCTAAAGGTCTCTTTTATTTCTCCATGTGTAGATATGTTTTTTTTCCTTAAGAACAGTGGGTTTGATTTCTTTTCCTTCCTCAACCTTCAAAGGTTGTTTTCCCAAATTAATCTTAGTTTTGTCATCTGCAAAACAGAATTGTCCGTTTAGGGGTACAAATCCCTATCTCCTGTCACTCTTCTAGAAAATTGCCAACAATAGTGTTTATTTTGGAACTAATTTACTGGTAGGTATCCAATTTTAGTTGTGCTGTCTAGATTTAATGGTCTTTTTGCATCTGATCTCTTGAATAATGTGGTGTTTTATCTTTAGCCCTGTTGAAGACAAAGATACAAAGACAGTCACAAAAGATGAGAAAGGTAGGTGCACATTTGGGGGTTTTGGGGTTTTTTATTTTCAAAGAACCTGGAGTAAAAAGGAGGACTGTTAATTCAGTGGACCCTCAATGCAGTTGTAACACATCCCTTCAAGATAGAACATTAAAATATCAGGTCCTTGTAACTTTTGTAACATTATTAACAAACAGAGTTGGGGTTTGTTTTAAATAAGTATTATTTTTGTGAATTAACATTTGATACTTTGTAATTCTCCTAAAAGTGATTGAAGTACAGGAAGAATATCTGTAGCTACAAACTCTTTAAGGCTATTCAAATGCACATTAATTATGGAGAGTTTTATCAAGGAAAATGTGGGGGGTTAGGACTCTGAATTTTGCACTGCTGCATTTGTGTTTCACATGGTCTTTTATATTTTTTTGTGCCCCAGGCCGTGTGGGGAGTGGTTCTGGCAGAAATTTGTGGGTTAGTGGACTTTCCTCCTCTACTAGAGCTACAGATTTGAAGAATCTTTTCAGCAAGTATGGAAAGGTATGTAGTGGATATGTAAATTAACAAACCATTCTGTCAGTTTAAAATGCTGAACTTAAATTTTGCTCTTATTTTCCCTCATGAATAACTGGGCAGGCTGAGTTCTTAACTTTGTGTTCTTTGGAAACTCCATATCTGAAAGGAGCACAGTTCAATAAAGAAGATTGAAATGGAGGGGTGGGAGCAGGGATGGAATTTGCAGAGAATATCTGTGCAGATACCTGTGAGAATGAGGCAGTTATTGACAGGAGAGACTGGTAGATCATCATGTAGTAGTCTGATTATGTCTTAAGTATCTAGCAATTAATGCTGTTTTAAATTATTCCATTTCAAGGACTATGCTTTGCAGAAATCCAGTCTTTGAGGGCAGGCTTCCACTTGCTTTGCAGTGCCTGCTAGCATACAAGAGCAGAAGTTGTGGAAGGGAGCTCTCTGTGTGACCATCTCCCCTTCTGCCAAATACTTTTCTTAATGTAACATTAAATGTTTATATCACTAAGTGCCACTGCCTGTCACAGATTGTCACCTGTGGGTAGAGATGTCCTGTAAGAGAAGGGAAAGTGGTAGTAGTTTTGTGCATTCAATTTTTTTTTTCAATCCCACTCTCCCTTCTCTGTATATATCTGCCTTAAGCTTCTGACCTGATCAGCAACTTGAAGATCAATTTTCTGAGCTGCATTATTGAAGATCTCCCTGCCTATTACAGAGGACTGATTGAACTAAATGGCTTTTTAAAGTCCTTTCCCATCCAAACTGTTCTAAGAAATAGTCATTAAGTTAGAATTTATTTAGTGGCAGACCTGTAAACACAGAATATTTGTTTTTTTCCCCAAAGGTGGTTGGTGCAAAAGTGGTGACAAATGCTCGCAGTCCTGGCGCTCGCTGCTATGGCTTTGTGACCATGTCAACATCTGAGGAGGCCACCAAGTGCATCAATCACCTCCACAGAACAGAGCTGCATGGTAAAATGATTTCTGTGGAAAAGGTAAGTGGCAGCAGTTTCATGGCAGTGTAATGAAAATAAAAGCATGCAAAGCAAATTTTAATCTCTGTCTCTGACTATGTAATTCTTTCTGGCTGAATTTCTAGGCAAAAAATGAACCAGCAGGAAAAAAGCCTTCTGACAAAAAGGAAGGTGAAACAAGGAAGGAAAAAGACAGGCACCATTCTGCAGATTCCAAATCTGAGAAGTAAAGTGTTGTTTTATGTTTATGATACTTAAAGACAACTCTTTTCAAATGTAGCCAGGTGACCAAGTTGAACAGTAACTGTAATAAATCTTGATTTAGTGTTTCATCCTGCATTTGAAATAGGAATAATGCTTGGAAAGTTGATGTTTTACAGTGGTAAGGGCATCTTAACTGGCCCTCTGTTCAGAAATACAAAGTTCTTTGGTGTTAGTATAATAACTTGCTAGCTATATTAGGAGATCTAAATCAAATTATTTATAGATAAACCTTTACTTTTACCAGTTGTATGTCCTCTGATCTGCCTCTGTCTTGGACTCTACTTTGAACTAGCATACAAGAGCAGAAGTTGTGGAAGGGAGCTCTCTGTGTGACCATCTCCCCTTCTGCCAAATACTTTTCTTAATGTAACATTAAATGTTTATATCACTAAGTGCCACTGCCTGTCACAGATTGTCACCTGTAGGTAGAGATGTCCTGTGAGGGAAGGGAAAGTGGTAGTAGTTTTGTGTATTCAATTTTTTTTTTCAATCCCACTCTCCCTTCTCTGTATATATCTGCCTTAAGCTTCTGACCTGATCAGCAACTTGAAGATCAATTTTCTGAGCTGCATTATTGAAGATCTCCCTGCCTATTACAGAGGACTGATTGAACTAAATGGCTTTTTAAAGTCCTTTCCCATCCAAACTGTTCTAAGAAATAGTCATTAAGTTAGAATTTATTTAGTGGCAGACCTGTAAACACAGAATATTTGTTTTTTTCCCCAAAGGTGGTTGGTGCAAAAGTGGTGACAAATGCTCGCAGTCCTGGCGCTCGCTGCTATGGCTTTGTGACCATGTCAACATCTGAGGAGGCCACCAAGTGCATCAATCACCTCCACAGAACAGAGCTGCATGGTAAAATGATTTCTGTGGAAAAGGTAAGTGGCAGCAGTTTTATGGCAGTGTAATGAAAATAAAAGCATGCAAAGCAAATTTTAATCTCTGTCTCTGACTATGTAATTCTTTCTGGCTGAATTTCTAGGCAAAAAATGAACCAGCAGGAAAAAAGCCTTCTGACAAAAAGGAAGGTGAAACAAGGAAGGAAAAAGACAGGCACCATTCTGCAGATTCCAAATCTGAGAAGTAAAGTGTTGTTTTATGTTTATGATACTTAAAGACAACTCTTTTCAAATGTAGCCAGGTGACCAAGTTGAACAGTAACTGTAATAAATCTTGATTTAGTGTTTCATCCTGCATTTGAAATAGGAATAATGCTTGGAAAGTTGATGTTTTACAGTGGTAAGGGCATCTTAACTGGCCCTCTGTTCAGAAATACAAAGTTCTTTGGTGTTAGTATAATAACTTGCTAGCTATATTAGGAGATCTAAATCAAATTATTTATAGATAAACCTTTACTTTTACCAGTTGTATGTCCTCTGATCTGCCTCTGTCTTGGACTCTACTTTGAACTGACAAATATTTCTAGGATTTAGCCTGTCTTTCTGGTAGACTGACTGTGTGGTTAGTGGGTGATACTTCCAACATTGGTTTTTCAAGTGGTTTGTTGCTTTTGAAAGAGGCATTTTGCTTTCCTGCTTTTTTGTAGATCTGTTGGTGTTAAGAAGGAGGAGAAGATGGACAAAAAAGATGATGCTAAGAAATCAGAAAAAGATGAAAAAGAAGGAAAAGAAAAGGATGAACAAAAGACTGGATCTTCTGATAGATCCAGGGCAAGCAAATCAGGTGATGCTAGCTGTCTTTCAGAAATGTTTTCAAGGGTGCTTGTACTTTATTGCATGTGACTGATAATTCAGTAAAAAGCTTACTTAATAAAACTGACACAGACATCAGAAAACACCTTGAAAATTTTGACTTTAGTTTCTAATAATGTAAAAGTTTCCATAATTTTTATGGAACTGTCACTGAGTTTATACCTGACACTATGTGTGGTTTGTGTCCTTTTTTGAGCTTTTTTTTTTTTAACTGTGGAGAAGGATGTATTTGTGGACAGAAGAATTAAATTAAATTTGTGTTCTTTTAGCTGTCATCCCTGCCAGAAAATACTGCTGTAACTTTGTGATAAATTTACTGCTCCCATCCTCATGTTGGCCAAATCTTGGCAAGCTATTTAAATCACGAATAAGCTCCATAAGTAATTAAAATAACTTTTTTACTATTTAGTATCTTCACAGTTTTGAATCTTGCAAGAATTGTTGAATGTCTTTTGTACCATTTATTTTTTGGCTCTGTTTTGTTTTCTAGCAAGTCGAGGAACAGAAAGGACAGTGGTAATGGATAAATCTAAAGGAGAGCCAGTTATTAGTGTGAAAACTTCTGCATCAAAAGAGAGGGTAAGGCCAACTTCCAGAGAAGCTTTGGTGTAAAAATTGGTGTCAAATACATTTATGTGCTCAGAGATAAAGGGGTTTTAGCCTTGCATTTTGGTACAATTATCCTTTTATCACTTTCTGGAAAGCATCAGGGATTTTATGGTGTGGCAGAGGGGAAATGCTTCTGTTTCACCTTTTTTATACTTCTTTACTATTGACCTAGTGCAAGAAGTCGAATTGCAATATGAAAATGGTGTTAGGATGATGTGTTTCCCTGAGCTTGGAATGTTATTGTTCTTGTTGTTTGAAGTGCAATCAGGTTGTGTTCCCCTGGTATTTATTTGTAATATTTTGAAGTTCTGGTCAAACTGGGGGTACTTTTCCCTGGAATTCCACTGTTGTTTCTTACCTCTGGGGAAGGCATGGCAGCCTGTTCCGTTCAGCTTGACACAGTGTAGGTATTTGCCTGGGAGCTTTAGCTGGAGATGCACCATGTTCAGCTCATGCATTGTTCTGATTCATCTCAGAGCACAAAGAGCCAGGACCGCAAATCGGAGAGCAAGGAAAAGCAGGATATTTTATCTTTTGATAAAATCAAGGAGCAGCGGGAGCGGGAACGGCAGAGGCAGAGGGAGAGAGAAATCAGGGAGACAGAGAGGCGCCGGTGAGTTCCACTCCCTCTAAACTTAAATGGCATTTTTTACTCCCTTATCCGTTCTGTGTTTTTGTTCAAAGCAGTGCTGTGCTGACCCTCCAACAGTGATATCTCAGATTGATTTCATACTAATTACTGTCTCAGACTGATTTCATACTAATTACTGCTAGAACAGACATTAATGCTAAGTGATGGAGGCTTTTACTGCTGAAATCAATGTTCTCATGAGACTTCCGTAGGTGCTTTCAGGCTTTGTTTTCCACTTGACTGGATTTGAATTTCCTTGTTTTTTCCCCTGAAGCTTGTAAATACTTTTTGTACATCAGATTTCTGTCTTAGGACTTGCTGTGCTCTCTGGAAGCTTTCTCAGACCTGACTTAAGAGTAGATACCGTGTTACTTATGCAGAATTCTCACCTTTGCTTCTGTCATTTGTATACAGTTTTTTATTTTCCCCTAAGCTGTTACTTAATTGGGAAGAAGGGGGAGAATATAGAAACTTCTTTTAAAAGAAGTGAAACCCCACTCAAAACAAAGAAGCGGTAGAGCTTGGACTGAAGAATCTAAATTAAAAACTCTTTTAAATTAGGGAGAGAGAGAGGCGAGACCGGGAGCAGCGCCTGGCAGCCATTCACGAGCGGGATGAGAGACAGAGGCTCCAGAGGGAGCGGGAGCGGCTGGAATTCCAACGGCAGCGCCTGGACAGGGAGCGCCTGGAGAGGGAGAGGTTGGAGAGGGAAAGGATGCACATAGAGCAGGAGAGGAGACGGGAGCAGGAGCGAATCCAGAGGGAGAGGGAGGAGCTGCGACGCCAGCAGGAGCAGCTGCGCTACGAGCAGGAGCGGCGCTCTGCCATGAGGAGGCCTTACGATCCTGACAGCCGGTGAGGAGCAGGGCAGTGGGGCTCCAAACTCCTCAGCCACATCCCCCTCGGGAGCCTGTGGAAACGGGGAGCGCTCTGCATAAGGCAGTCATGGGAGCTTGCAGCTGAAAGACTCTTTATGTGCTGCTTCTAGCACTAGTAGCAATTTGAAGAAGAGCAAATACTGTGCTTGTACACTGTAAGCACTGTCTGGGTCTAGTCTTCTTTCCCAGAGAGGGATGACCAAGAAAAGTAACAACCCAGAGTTGTTACTACTTTGAGTAATAGAGAGTAGAGTAGTAATAGTAGAGTTAATAGAGTAGTAGAGTTGTAATAATAGAGTACTATAGAGTGGTAATAATAGTTACTAGATTAGTAGAGTTGTAATAATAGGGTAGTAGTAATAATAGAGTACTAGTAGAGTAGTAATGGTTACTAGTAGTAATAAATTATTACTACTAGTAGAGTAGTAATAATAGGGTTAATAGAATAGTAGAGTTGTAATAGTAGAGTAGTAGTAGTAATAGAGTACTAGTAGAGTCGTAACTATAGAGTTAATACGGTAGTAGTGTTGTAATTATAGAGTAGTAGTAGTACTAGGAGAGTAGTAATAATAGAGTTATTAGAGCAGTAGAGTTGTGTGTATCAACTCTGAATGGTAAATGAAATGATGCTTATTCTCTTCCCCCATCACCACGTGCTGAAATTAAGCTGGTTTTCATAAACCAAATTTTCTCTGAAACCGAAGTGCGGCTCCTGCTTAACGCACACAGATTTTTAATTAGTGGGTTGATTGAGGTTGGAGAGAGCAGGAAAGGGGAGGTGGTGTGGGGCTGCTGCTGACGTGAGCCCGTGTGCAGGCGGGATGAGCCCTACTGGCCCGAGGCCAAGCGGCTGGCGCTGGAGGATCGCTACCACTCGGACTTCGGCCGCCAGGATCGCTTCCACGACTTCGACCACCGCGACCGCGGCCGCTACCAGGAGCACTGCTTGGACAGGTTGGCAAGGCACTGCCTCTTCTTCTTCTTCCTGTGCCTTCATGGAGATTTGGTGTCTTTTTAATCACTCTTGTGTATTTCTCGTGTCTGATTTCACATGTGCTTGCAATCCTTTGTTTCTGTGGGTGAGGGACATAGAAAGAGGCTGCATAAAGATTATAAGCCAAGTTCTAATGTAGTCTGCCATGATGCTGATGGAGATACAACAGCTCCTCTCTAGGTCTGTGGAAGTCTGCTTTATGAACCCCTAAGATTTAGCCATTTCCTTTTGCTTTAAAACTTCCCCTGTTTTCATCTTTGCAGCCTGGCTAATACAGGGTTTTAGTGGCACAGAATGGAAAAATATTTTCTGTCTGGTGCCGTTGAGATTTCTGTTTGCTCTCAAAGGATCTCTGGTGAAAACTGTACTGTTTGGTTTTCCTTGTAACTCATTTCTGATACAGGTTCACTCAGTATTCTCCCTTGGTGTCACTGGTGTCACTTGGCCATCCTCAGTGGTGCCTTTTTTACCCATATTGCAGTGATAGGTGTTAGTTTGATCTCTTTTTATACTATGAAACAAGAACAGTCTTGAGTTATCTTGCCACTGAACATTAGCATCGAGACTTACAACCTAATGAAGATTAACTTTTCATGTGTTATTTTATGCAGACCCTGAAATTATAATTACAGTGTTGATTCAACTGAAACTTTTCTTTTTTGTTCCAGGAGAGACTGTACAAGGGGAATTCCAGATCGAGATGGGCAGGTGTGTTGCAACAAAATTCCTGCTTCAGTTAAAAACCAAAACAAGCTGACCCCAAAGCAGAAATGACACAGTGTGCACACAGCACTAACTGTTTCAGCTGAGATACTTAAGCAGAACTAATTTTGTGTGCTAATGAGCATAAAATAAATTATTAGGTTACTTGCTTGCTGGGGTGGTAGCCCCGGATACAGGCAAGGGGGAAACCTCTTAGTGATGGGAGCATCTTCTCAGGCTGATGTGTGGCAGTAAAAGCTTTTTGATTGACCATCTTAGGTGTTAAGAGAGAGCTCCTGTACTTAGTTGGCAAAGGTTGCCTTCTCTCACATTTATCTAAATAAAACAACTGGTGCCAGAATGAAACAAGGCTGTAAAAGGACAGGTGTGAAAATCAATGCCACAATGGGATTCAAAACCTTTCATTTCTGAAGAGGTAGGAAGTAGGCAGATATTCTATGTAAAAATTTAAAAGCTGAAGCCAAGAATGTAAGCCTTAAAAAACTTTACCAAACAGAAAGACCTTTCCCACCAGAGAACAGCACAAAATAAACACCTGGAGTGAGCCATGCCCTACAACAGAACCTGTAAAAAATAAAGACAGCTACCATTTTTTCTGACAGCTCATAGAAAACAACATCCAAAAAGCCAAATTTTTACCATCCTAGAAGAAAACCTGTGTTGGTTTTTAGCATGACTGTGTCCTGTTTGCCTTCCAGCACTACCCAGACGAGCGGCACGGGGGGCCTGAGCGTCACTCCCGGGACAGCTGGGGGGGCTACGGCTCTGACAGGAGGATGAGTGAGGGAAGAGGGATCCCCCCACAAACCCGGTTAGTGCCTGGGGGCTCTGCACATTGCCTCAGTGAACCTCTGGAGGGTGGCAGCAGAAGCAGCTTGACAAGTGTGAATCCTCTCTCCAGATCTTTGAGCGTCTGCAGGAGCAGGGAGTTGCCACGTGCAGCTCCCGCGTGCCTCGGGAGGGTGAAGCTCTGTAGTGAGTAAAGAGCTGCTCACTTAGCTCAGCTCCTGACTCTGCTTCTCCTGTAAATAACTTTCATTTCTACAGATGAGATTCAGTCTGTTTCTACAGATGCCCCAGTAAGGCCTGCACAAGTCTCGTTCATGGCCAGTGGTCAGGTTTTAATGGAAATTGAGTGAGATGTCTCTGCAGTGGTGGGGTAGAGAACTTGGACTCGCCTGAATTGTAGTGGTTTCTCTTTAAACCAGTTAATCAAGCTGGGCATATTCCAGCTGCATAATTTTCAGACTGAGGAGTGGCAGCCAATGAATTCATCTATGCCCAAGTATTTCAGTCCATTGCAATATCCATGATGTGTCTGGATCAGAAAAGACAAGTTTTGTTGTGTGAAGGATGCTGTTCAGCAGGTGTCTGTCATTGTTTCTCTTTGACCAGTTCTGATTGCAGTGGTTGGGTGGCTACAGCTATAGCTTGATTAACCATTTAACACACTTTGGCATGGGGTATGGTGTTTGGCTTTACCCTGTGCTGCTCAGTGGGTAGGGGACATACCTAGAAGATGTTCTTTTATTTTTTTAAGAGATGGACGTGACTGGGGAGATCATGGTCGAAAGTTAGAGGGGCATCAAGATCGTACATGGCAGGGAAATGTGGCTGGAGGAGTGATGGGACGGGATCATGAGAGATGGCAAGGTACACTTGCTGCTTACCAGTGTGATTGTGGTTCTTTTCTGTGAATTACTGCTGCTGAACCTTCTAGTGGTAGTTAAATTATTGAGAAATCAAATTAAATTCTGGGAACAAGGTGACATTTTTATTAGGGAAGCACAAAACCCTGTATTTTTCTTTTTTTTCTTCTTTTTTTTTTTTTTTTCCCTTTTTTTCTCTTTTTGAATTAGGTGGTGATAGAAGCATGCCTGGTCAGTCAGGACCAGGCCATGGGATGACTCGAGGAGGGACATCAGGGTAAGAACCTCTCTCAGAATGCTTATAATGCTTTTATAATACCTTGATCTGTATAAGCCTGGATTGGCAAGAGGGGAAAAAACCTAACAAATTAAAGAAACCAACAAATTAGAGAAACACCTTTCAGAGTGTAGGAATGTGCCCCGTGTTGATGGAGTGACAATTATTCTTTGCTTAAAAAGGCAAAAAGCACAGAAGTTTCTCTTCTAATTTGGTACAAAGACACCTCATAGGACTTTTGGGACTTCACCTCAGACCTGGGGCTGTCCACTGGACAGAGGCCAAGGGGTCCCACCTGGGTAATTCACTAGAAAAGGAAGAGAACAAAGGAAATAATTGCTTTTGTGGGGTGTTTTACCGGGAGCAAGAACCTCTCACCTCTTGTTCAGTTTTTCTCTGTAAGAGCTTTGTTATTTTGCCTTTCGTTAAACCTTTTTCTGTTTCCAACACTACCTCAGAAGCCATCCTGCTAATTTGATGCCATTTTGGGCTAATTTAAGCTGTGATGGGTTCTCTGAGAGCTCATAAAACCTGGCTCCAGCAGAACCCATCCTCAGAGACTGCCTGGGCCGTGCCCAAAGTGTCCCTGTTGTACCATAGCAGTGAACCCTTGAACAGGGAATAATTAGCACTGACTCCATGATTGCAGAGGCTGATGAATCACTTTATTGTACTAATACTATATTCTACTCTTCAGAAAAACCCATCAGTAACAGGAGCCTCCTGGAGCCAGGTCTCATGAGCTCTTGGAGGTCTGTTACACACCCAAGATAGCTCAGCTACCTTTGGAGGCATAAAATCAGCAGGATGGCCCCTATTGCAGTGTTGGAAACAAAAAGGTTTTAATAAAAGGAAAAATAACAAACAGAGAAAAGAGGTTCTTGCTCCTGGTAAAACACCCATGAAAGCCATTAGTTTCTTTGTTCTCTTCTTTTTCTAGTAAATTGCTTAGGCTGGACTTTTTGGCTGATGTCCAACTGGCTATCCTTAAGTTTGAGGTGAAGTCTCTCAGGTCCTATGAGGTGTCTTTTCACCTAATTGAGGAGAGAAACTTCTGGCCTCTTCTCGTTTTTAAGGCGACAAAACCAAGGGGCACATCCCTCCACCCCTCACCCACACAGCCCAGTACAGCTTTGCCCTACCTGATCACTCAATCCAAACACCATCCCCAGAGTCCAGTTAAGAAATCACCCCTCACTAAACAAATCTCTATAACACATTCCACGTGTGCAGCGGTTCCTCATTTTCCCTGAGCTTTCTCCCCAGCAGGGTGCTGTGTGTGTGTGTGCCAGCCCGCGCCGTGACCGCGCTGTCGTTGCAGGCGCGGAGGCTTTGCCGGGAGCCAGGGCCAGGCCGCGCAGGGCAGCGGCGTCCCCGGGCTGTTTGCCGCCCCCGAGAGACCCCCCAGGCCGAGCGAGCCCCGCTTCAGCCGCCGCTACTGAGCTGCACCCCGGGCTCAGTGCCTCCTGACACCGGTCGTGAGTTTCATTACCCCAGGTCACCTTGAGGTTGTGGTTCTAAAGATGCCAGACTGCTGCTGCGCTGCAGCCAAATCCCGCGGCGGCTCGGTTTGGGGTGGTTTGGTTTGGTTTTGTTAACCCCAGATCACCTTGAGGTTGTGGTTCTAAAGATGCCAGACTGCTGCTGCGCTGCAGCCAAATCCCGCGTCGGCTCGGTTTGGGGTGGTTTGGTTTGGTTTTGTTTGTTTGTTTGTAATGAACATGGTGTTGGTCACACATCGCTTTTAAGTTTCTGTAAGTGAAACATTCCATTTTTCAAAAATAATAAAATCGGTTTATGGCTACTGGTTTTTGTTTTTTTTGTTTCTAGCATCTTTGGTGACCTCGTGAGAGGTTTGAAAGTCATTGAAGAGACAATCTGCTTTTAGCACTGTGAGATTTGAGAAGTGATGGATCTGTGACATTGTGGATGTGGAGGGGCCTGGCAGACCCTGCCTGTCTTTAATTATTTCCTTTGTGTCATTAAGTTTAAATATTCTTTCTACATTTCCATTTTAGATTTCTGTCATTACAGGAGTAGAAAGAGGAGGAAGAAAGAAAGCTGGGAGAAAGGGGGAAGAAGAAGGAAGGAGGCCTGAAAAGTAGGATTGAGTTCAGTCTAGGGCTCAGTGCTCACCCTGTTCACCTCCCTCTGATGCTGTTATTCTGCTCTGCTCGTTGCTTTGCACCTTCAACCTAAAAACCTAAAAGCCAAACTTGAGAATGCTCCCAGGGTCAGAAGTCACATCTCCCCCCTCAGCAGCACCACAAACACCTGGGGACAGAAAGTGCCCCACATCCCCTGGGCACCCTGGGGATGCTGAGGGGAAGGAGGATGCAGGAGAGACCAAGAACAGATGTCCCCTGGGGCTGTGCTCACGGGTTTGGGGTGCTGTCACAGTGGTGGAGCCCCTCAGTCACAAATTTTAATTCTTCCTTCTCTTCCCTATGGCCCACCTTATTTCTTCCATCCACCTCTGCCTTCCTGTCCCTGCGATTTAATTCCTGCCTTTAAAACTTCTTATTCATACACAGAGTGAGAAATAATATTAATTTATATAATAACTGATGGTTATTTCCAAATAACTCTTCATCTACTGTACTATACACAGAATTTTAGGAATTCTGAGTAGACACATATAGTTCTTGAATATACAGATAAAACTTTTGTGTTTATATATATATAAATTAAACATAAAGACCTTGAGAATGTAAGAGAATGGGTTCTATAAGGAGGAAATAGAGGTTTCTGTATTTATTTTTTCCTGTCTCAGTTAAAAGTGAATTCTGAGATTTTGGCTTGATTTAAATCGCTGCCGCCGCCTGGCGGTGAGCGGGAGGAACTGCACGGTGCTGAGGGCTCGCTGTGCCGCCTTGTGGCCGGAGGTGGTACTGCAGGGCAGCAACGGGGTGACACCGGGCAGCCCCTGGTGTCCCCAGCACAGTGACACCAGGGAGCCCCTGCTGTCCCCAGCACAGTGACACTGGGCATTCCCTGCTGGCCCCAGCACGGTGACACCAGGGAGCCCCTGCTGTCCCCAGCACGGTGACACCGGGGATTTCCTGCTGTCCCCAGCACGGTGACACCGGGCAGCCCCTGCTGTCCCCAGCACAGTGACACCGGGGATTCCCTGCTGTCCCCAGCACAGTGACACTGGGCATTCCCTGCTGTCCCCAGCACAGTGACACCGGGGATTCCCTGCTGTCCCCAGCACAGTGACACTGGGCATTCCCTGCTGTCCCCAGCACAGTGACACCGGGGATTCACTGCTGTCCCCAGCACAGTGACACCGGGGATTCCTTGGTGTCCCCAGCACAGTGACACTGGGCATTCCCTGCTGTCCCCAGCACGGTGACACTGGGCAGTCCCTGCTGTCCCCAGCACAGTGACACCAGGGAGTCTCTGCTGTCCCCAGCACAGTGACACTGGGGATTCACTGCTGTCCCCAGCACAATGACACCGGGGATTCACTGCTGTCCCCAGCACAGTGACACTGGGCAGTCCCTGGTGTCCCCAACACAGTGACACCGGGGATTCCTTGGTGTCCCCAACACAGTGACACTGGGGACTCGCTGCTGTCCCCAGCACAGTGACACCGGGGATTTTACAGGGGGATCCACCAAAAGCCATCAGAACTCCTGGGAAGGCAGGAGGAGTCCCAGGAGCTGCAGTCCCAGTGTGGCTGTTCCAAAGGGATCCCAGCAGGATCCACAGGGACCCCAGTGACCCCAGAACTTCCCAGAACAGCTGAACAGGAAAACAACACAAAAAAGTTCATTTGCTGAAGGGCAGGATTCCACATAGGAAGGGGTGTGGGGTTGGCTTGGGTTTTTTGGGAAACTCACCCATATTCCCATCAATTTATAGAGGTCTAACATAAAATAGCAACAAAAAAAAGCTGGGTGCCCCTTGGATATCTGCACACTGTAACACCTGTCACTTCAGGGTTAACAAATTCATTTCACTGCCCTGAACATTACCACAGAGAAATTTCAGAATTATTTTTAACAGCTCACAGCACGACCCAGAAATTTAAGCCTTGGAAAAACAAAATTTTCCCTTTATTTATATTGCACCTGTTTCACAAAGAGCCACATGGCAGAAGTTCCTTCTGCTGCAAAATGCTGCATCAGAGAAAAAGTGGGCTTGAACAGATTAGAAAGGAAAACTGAGCTTTGGAAATCATCATGAGCTGACCCCAAAATACCAACACTATTTTTACAAATCACTGTGCACTTACAAAGCCCAAGTCTTGCCTCAATTTTATTTAGCATTCAGTTATTTAAAAACCACAAGCATTTTACCAGATGATAAAGATACTCTTACCACTTACTTTAGTACCACTGGGTAAAATTGAACCTGCAGGGGGAATATTTTTAAAGAGCACCAAATACTCTTTGGAGTTACCAACAACACCCACGTGGAGTGGGGAGAAATTGGTTTTCTTATTTCTACAACTGCCCAGGGCTGCTTGAGGAAGAAGTTTTCCAATGTTGTGATGTATTTCTGTGTAAAAAATGCATAGTGAAAATCAAAATATCTCAAGGGAGTCCAGTTCTAACCCTGGTTACAGCATTGGTGAGGGAGAACATCCACCCAACTCCTCACCAGTGGCCATCATGGCACTCCCAGAGCTTCCTGCAAGGAATAAACCCAAACCCTTGGCTTTGATTTAATAACAGGCTCATTGTACACAGTTGTGTAGACTTTGCCCTCTTTATTCCAGCTTTTACCTTCCTACAGCCCCGGGTACAGAGTCAACCACGCCACTCACTTACAAACCAGCTTAAAACAAGCATCTCACTTGGCCAGACAAAAACCCTTGCAGAGGTCCAAGATTAAAATGCTTATTACAGCAATGTCAGGAAGTTCCTCTCCCTGAATGTGGGCAATATTGCTTAAGGACTGGGATTTGGGATCCAGCAAATCCACCCCGTGCAGCCTGGCAGTTTTAATGACGCCCTGCAGCGCAGGCAGCCGTCCCTGCTGCAGCAGCAGCTCTCCAGGACCAGATTCACTCCCTGGGCTCTAAAAGAACCCATTATCCTCGTGGGATATCCTCATTGTGGGCCAGGCCCTGCAAGCAGGGGAGTTTTGTTTCAGAGACAGAGGCCATGAGCCCAGACTGGAATTTGGGACAGTTCTGAACAGGAAACCCTCAGCTGCTGCCGAGGCTACAGAGAAAGCTGAGCTTAAAAGCTGCCCTGGTGAGTGTGCAGGGCAAGCTTACTGTGAAAACACTTGCCAAAAAAGGTTTGGTTATGCTCTTTAAAAGGAAACAAATCTGAATATATTTAATAAAGCCTCTGATCTGGTTTGTTTACTCCCTGTAGCAGCTGAGGTTGTAGGAGCCTGGCACAGCAGAGTGATGGAGAGATGAGCTCAGAGGATGCCTGCACATCTCTGGGGCCCCAGTGCCACGTTTTTTCTGGTATTTTACCCCCTGTGATGTAAAGAATCACCTCCATTTTCCAAAGGGGAAACTGAGGCACAAAGACACAATTCAGCATTTGCAGGCCCCAGTGCCACTGTTTTTTCTGGTACTTTACCCCCTGTGATGTAGAGAAGAATCACCTCCATTTTCCAAAGGGGAAACTGAGGCACAAAGACACAATTCAGCATTTGCAGGAATTCACCAGGTCACAGCCTTTGAGAGCAGCTGGAGAACTTCAGCCCCTCCTGAAAATCTCAGCCTGAGTCTCTCATCCTCAAATCAGTCTCTGCAGAGTCAGCACCTAATCCAAATCCAGAGTCCAAATCTTTGTTACTTGTAAGTGAAAGCATTGAAATGTTGGGAAGTGAGCCCTAGAAATACACATTTGGCATTTTCCCTGCATTCAAAAGAAGTAATTATACAGTCATTAATACTGGAACAGGCAAAAGAAATTTCATCTGAAGGAAAGACTTCCTCATGACCTTGCTCACTCTGGTTAGGGACAGATTTATTTCGATTTTCTACCAAAAGCCCAAGTTCTCAGCTAGCACAAACACACTGAACTCCAGTCAAAGCCAGAAGTTCTGCTCACACACAGCAGCATTTTTAACCCATCTCTCAAGTTTCAGAAGGACCATTTCCTCTTTTGGACTCTCTGGTGGAAGGCTGTTCATGTAACTACCACCCCAGCAGCCAAGAGAATAAAATCAGCTTGATTTTGCACTTAAAAATAAATTCTTTATTATCCAGAAAGGAGCCAAATCATCATCTCACATCATGGAAATGGTCATTTTAAAGCAATAAATAAGAGGAGTGTTCTGTGACACACCCTGGGTTTTGTCACTGGTGTCTGGTTAAAAGCATAAAACTTATGCTATCAAAGTCTCACTGTACAACAGTCTGGGAAGGAAAGAAGGCCCCTAAAATCTTTTACTAAAGCAATGACAGAAAATTCTGATTCAGTGAAACCCAAGTTCCAGGATGGGTTTCACTTCATTCCAAGGAATTTCATTCAAAGGAAGGAAAGCCAAGTTTCATCCCTTCCATGCACAAATGCAGTACCTGACAGACACAATCACCTTGTCTAGAACTGACACTGAATCAGTTCTTAACCATAAATTATCTATTTACTGCTGATTCAAACAGTTTGTCTTTCATTTCCTATTCGAGGGGAGTTGCAGGAACAGCACAGGATACAAAATTTAACTTCTTACAGCATCAGCAGGAAGTCAGGCTAAATCCACACAGCTACTCCAACAGAAGTAATTAAGAAATTTAAAAACCCCAAACAATTAGGGGCTAAAAAAGATTTAAGAAACAATTAATAATGATGATTGTTCAAATCAATGCATTCAAAATATATAACTCATGTAAGAGAGCATAACTTATGCATAAAACTGAGAACAAAACACCTTTCACCTTTCAGTTTCTAAAGCAACAAAACAGTTTTGAAAGAACAGGTGTGAAGCAAGTAAAAAAATAAAATCATATTATTCCAAACACTTTTATTTGTGAAGGAGTTTCCTGCATGGCCAGGGGATAGCAATGTCTGGAGTTACAGGACTACATGATTCAGAAAACAATGATTATTTTAGGTTGGGCTTGGTTGTTCTCTGCCACGAGCAGTGATTTGGAGAACTGTGTTTTTCCTGAAGCAGTTCTGGGAGAGATCAATCCTTCCACTGCCTGCTCCTCCAGAAACACTTCTGCTTTGTCATCCAGGGCTGAAGGCAGAGGCACAAGAGTTGTGAATATCCACAAGCAGTTGCACAGATGCTGGAGATGAACTCGAGTTTACCTGCCTGCAGCTGATCCACCTCAGTCAATCCTGATCAGCACAAGTACCCCTTGCTTTCATTTCTTCCTGAAAGCTTCATTAAAAGGATCATTGAACCGTTATTGGAGAACAAGTTAAAGGTGACATTACCAGCATGGAAAGGAGATACTGGCCAGAATTCAGCTGCCAAGAGAACAACGAGCTGGCAGACTCTGAAAGGAGCAGTGACAGATGTCCCACTGTGCAGTGACACGTGCACCTCACCAGGATCTGCTCTGTGGGTTTGGTTCAGTGTCAGGTCTGCCTGTTCCAGGTCTAAAGCTCTGCCCAGCAGCAGCTGCAGGTCCTGCACCACTCCCCTCCACACGGACCTGCCCCGCTGCCAAACCCGCACAGTTCAGCGGCGTGGTGACATTCATGGATGTACTGGAAGTTTTCTGATAATGCTGGGGACACTTTGATATCACAGTCTGTACCTGTCTGCCAGGATCCTAAATATCAAAACGGTTCAGGTTGTAGGCTGCTGGGTAGCTCTGCCTGCTGTGCTGGAAGTGCTCTGTCAGGAGGTTGCTGCGGCCGTACTGGAAGTCCCCAAAGGCTGCGAGTCCATTCTGGGACTTCTCAGGGGGGTTTCGGTGCCGTTCCAAGTTCACCAGGTCTCCAGTGGTCACTGGGAGCAGCTGCTGCTTCTTTGCCTCTTGGTTTGCGTCGTATTTAGTCTGGGAAAGGAAGAGAATTTGTCACAGAATCATTCAGGCTGGGCAAATATTGCTGGGGGTCTGTGTACACATCACAAACAGGATGGGGCTGCTGGGGAACACTTCTCAAGCTGTTTTATCTTCCAGGATCACTCTCATGACATGGTTATGGCAATGGGAAGATGCCAGCAGCTCACATCCCAGGCAGCAGACAAAGAACTCAATGTTACAACTCACTGTAAAGTTTTTGACCAATCACACAAAGCAAAAGCAAATTGGCAGTAGATCTATCCAAGCACTATAAGCACACATACCTTTGGTTAAAACAATGCTTGCTTATTTCAAATGCGATACCTGCTTGTAAGCCTTAAAACACAATGCACAGAGCTCCATTATTAAGTTTAGAACTTCCTAACATCTCACTAGATCTACTTTTCTGTAGCTTAGGGAGTTATTCTATCCAAGCATTAATACACAGACCATTGTTCTATTTGTCCTTACTTTCTAATTCTCATATAACTTTTTAGGTGACAAATCTTATGGCTACTGCTTAGCTCTAATTGCAGTTCTGCTGTCTCTAAAACCTCCCTTTTGCAGCTTTCCCCAGAACCTCTAATTCTAAAGATTCCCACAGGAAAATCTGAGATCATCAAGACCAAGCTCTGCATCCCCACCTTGTCCCCAGCCCAGAGCACTGAGTGCCACATCCAACCAGGGATGGGCACCCAAACCTCCCTGGGCAGCCCCTGCCACAGCCTGATAACCCTTCAGTGAAGGTGAATTTTCTTAGATATCATCTAAGATATCACCTAGACATATTCCCATACCCAGAAAAAAACAGCCAGTCCTACAGTCACATCACTTTTTTTCTTAGAGTCTTAAAATATCAGTGGCTTCTAATAAAAACCTCACTCCTCTCACACACCAAACAAACAAGCTGGTGTTTTGCTCAAGAGATTCTGAGTTACTTCCCTTTTCAAGAAAAGCTTAAGATCAACATTTAATTTTGAGAGAAGCCCAGCAGCTGGTGTGACCCCAGTCCTTGCCCTGGGCCATGCTCATCCCTCCTCTGCAACGGAGCCTTGTGCCCTCTGTGTTGTCTATTTTTGTTTTTCTCAAGGAGCTCTTGTACAAACAATAATTCCAAGCTGCTGGACTGCTTCAGCTGTGTTTGCTGGTGCATACAGCAAGGCCTGCCTCACCTTGTTGTACAGGAAGACCCCGAGGATGGCTGTCATCATGCCCAGGACGTTGGTGCTGGTGACGGGGTTGCGCAGCATGATCAGGGACACGGTGATCACCATGATCCTCTTGGTGGCATTGGCCACGGAGTAACTCAGGGGGCTGATCAGGTTTAGGATACTGAAGGCAATCACATTCTGGGCAAAATTACAGAATCCACTGATTATAAGCAGCATTAAGGTCCAGGACCAATGAGACATGGAGCTCTGTGGCAAAGCAAACAGCAGGAGAAAAAAATTATCTCAGGTTTCAGGTAACAACACAAACACAGCCTGAGGCACTTCTTTACCTGCCATGGGAGGGAGGAATGTCTGCACTGAGCTCTAAAGAGGCCCCCAAGCTCTTTGCTTTATTAGTTGCAAGTCTTTTTGCAACTCCCAACTCAGAGAAGCCAGAGGACATTCCCCACGCACCCTGGGAGCGTTTGTTCCTGCCTCCAGTTCCCAACTCCTGAAATTTATGCTGCCCATAAACTGCCTCTCCTAACCCTGACAGGAATCCTCACAATAAACACTTTGTCAGCTCATGTGAAACAATTTGCAGGTGTTTCACAACACTTCCTTCCACGCTGACAAGAACTACACTGAAACACTTCAGAGCACTTTTCTGGTTGGGTGCTGCAGTTTGTTTGGTTTTTTTCTCTCTTTTCTTTCATAATAGCAAACAGTTCTCCAAATTCAGCACTTACCAAGTCATTCTCTACCAAGAAGGAAGAAAGATCCACCAGAACCCACGTTGGGATCATGAAGAACACAGCGTGGCACCCCAGGATGTTCAGCAACCGAAGGTGATGAATTCTGGAATCTCTCAACACCTGACAAGAGCCATTATTGAACAGCAGTCAGGAAACAAACTGCTTTAGGGGACAGGTAAGTTAGGAAAATGAGTAAATACCCTTATAGTATTAATTTCCTATTAGGGTGACCAAAGAAAACCTGATGTCTCTTTGAAAAACAATGTTTTTTTTGGGTGATGGCTCTTAGTATCAATAAGATATTAAAATTAAAATTAATAGCTCTACGAAACAGAAACCATTTTGTAACAAGATAGAGCCAAACCACACACTTTAATTTTGTTACTGTGGTTTCAAGGAGTGCCCAGTGTTGACAGTGACTTGTTCAGCACAGAGGAATGATTTGATATAACAAGATACATTAAATGAACTGTTCAATTTAAGCACTATTGAATTGCCATCAGAAAAATCAAATCCATGTTGAAGAGTAAAGAAAGGGCTCAGGATAAACTCAGTGCAACAGCTTCAACAGGTAGGAAGAGCTGCAGGGAATACACAAAATAACAACCATCCCTCTGGGTTCATCTGACAGCAAAGCCAACAAAAAAAACCCCATTTATGTAATTGAAATGACACCCTGTCCTGCTGAAGAGTGACACCAGTGCTGTGAACAGAGCTGTACCTTCTTTGAGAAGATGTTCTGAAGTGAAAAGCAGAGGGTAGCAGCAAGTGCACTGATGAGTCCCCACATGTCAAAGGACAGCTCTGTGACCGTGGCCAGCAGGACACCAGTGATGATGGGGATCAGAGACAGGTACACCTGCAGCAGGGACAGAGGGTAAATGGCATCTGCTAAGAATTTCAACGAGTTTATACATCCTGCTGATGTAGGGATCAAGCCTTTTACTACTGTAGTTCAAGGAAAAGTGACTTCAGTAGACACTGACAACTCCAGTGCATCAGACAGCATCACCCTGGTCATTGTTTAGATGTATTTTATACCCACAATAAAAGGAAAAGTGATTTTAAAATCTGCATGATCTAATTCCAGTCACAAAATCCACCCAAAGCCTGAGCTCTGCTGCCCCCAGCCAGCACAGCAGCACCAAGAGAAGAAACCTCAGCAAACCTGTCCGCACCTTCGTCGTCTGCTTTTCCTTCATGATGATCCGTGACAGCAGCACCACCCAGATCGGCATCGTGGCTTTCACTGGGGACAGCAAGAAAACATCACTGGGGACTGGGACAACTCCAGCAACCACCGTGAGCAGAGGGATGGAGCAGGGGCTCAGCCCAGCCCAGCAGGGGTCCTCCCTCCCTGTCACTGTCCTGGCCACTTGTACCAAGTGGATCTTGGAGCTCTGGGTACCCACAGGGCACACACCAGGGCACTGCCCCTGGATCTGCTGCCAGCACACACTGGGCACAGCTCTGGGAACCTACAGAACACACAGTGGGCACTGGGACAGCACACTGGATACCTGTATGGGCACAGGGTGGGTACGGGGACACTGCACTGGGCACTCACAGTGGGTACTGGGACACTGCACTGGGCACTCACAGTGGGTACCGGGACACTGCACAGGGCACCCACCCTGGGTACTGGGACACTGCACTGGGCACCCACAGCACATACTGGGTACTGGGACACTGCACTGGGCACTCACAGTGGGTACTGGGACACTGCACTGGATATCTGTACGAGCACAGGGGGGTACTGGGACACAGCACTGGGCACCCACCCTGGGTACTGGGACACTGCACTGGGCACCCACCCTGGGTACCGGGACACGGCACAGGGCACCCACCCTGGGTACCGGCGCACTGTCCCAGGTGCCCACAGCAGCACACACCGGGCTGCAGGTCACCCCCCTGAGCAGGAATCCCCGCTGGCCCCCAGGACACCCCCGCGGGCAGCTCCTTCCGAGCTCAGCCGGCGCCGGGGCATCCCCCGGGCAGCCGCAGCCCTCACCTGTGTGCGCGTAGGACACGGGGACCCTCCAGAGCGAGACGTGCGCGGACACGGAGGCGAAGTACTTGCCGAAGGCCAGCGGGAGGATGTAGCGGGGGTAGGCGCGGGGCGGCAGCTGCGCGGGGCCGGCGGGCGGGACGCGCCAGGCGCGGAGCAGCGGCGGCAGGAGCCCGCACAGCCCCAGGATGTGGAACAGCGAGACGGTGACGGGCCGCGGGAAGCCGCCGAGCAGCAGCTTGTTGACCACGTTGCCGCCGGCGCTCAGCCCGTACCAGGCGAGGCACAGCGCCGACACCCGCGCCCCCTCACGCAGCGCCGGCCCGCGCCCGCCCCGCGCCGCCCCCGCCCCGGNNCAGGAGTCACTTCCTCCGCCCCGCCCGCCCCGCTCCGCCCGGCCCCGCGCCCTCGCTGCCGGCCCCGCTCGGCCGTGGAGCCCCGGGGGCTGCCGTGACTCACCCGGCACGGCGCTCGGGGCAGCGGAGCCGCCTCCAGGGAGGCAGCGCCGGGGCAGGGACGGAGCGAAGGTCGCGGGCTCGGAGGCACCGGGACGATCGCTCCCGACCTTTAAAACTAAGGCGAGGAAGGCGTAGCGCCGGCCGGGGTAAAGGATGGGTGAGTACCTGGCAGGCAGGAGGGGGTGATGTAGAGCCCGCTTCATCCATGCACCCTGTCAAGAGACATTCCTGCAGGATTAATTTGCCCATAAAAACGCGCACTTCAGGTGATGGCGACTCCCCAGAGATTTGCTGATGAGCCATTTCGTGTCATCCGTTGACAAGGAAGAAATGGCAGTGTTTTAACTTCAGGTTTTAGGATTAGAAGGAAAATTTTTCCGAGAGAGGTGGGAGAAGGCAGCAGAGAAACTGAGTCATGCACAAATGAGAGTACACAGCAGGTACGCACATGGTAAACTTCATTTGAACTTGTTTACAAAATTGACAAAAAAATATCACCTTGTAAACTTATTCACATTTGTTGGAGCTCACAGAACTGGTTATACTGGCATGCTGAAATAAAGATTGTCAAGCCTCATCTCACCCTGGAGGACACACAAGTGAGTTGACCCTTTACAGCAGCAACAAACTCAGCAAGGAACAAGATTTAAAGCTTGCATTGGGAGGGAATTTCTCCAGCAGTTTTTGTACCACCAGGGAAAGGGCTGGGTCTGATTCCTGACGCTCCCCCAAACAGGGGAGCACCAGCACAGGCAGTTTGGGTGGAATCTGAAAGCTGTGATGAGCTTCGGGTATCGCCTCACCCAGTGCAGTCAAGGGCCATCAATTGCATCAGAAATGGAAGCAGTGGAGAAAAAGATGGAATTTATCAAGTAATACTTTGTCATTTCCTGAATTCAAAGGCCTCCAAAGAGCACAGACCCTGTTCCTAAACGGGACCATTCAGGGAAGGAGGAAGGGCAGAGGGAGATAAGATGCACAGTATTTTTTTACATAAACAAAACTTAAGCATTTCCAAAACGATCAGCAGCTTAACCCTCTACCATCAAATCTGAGCTGCAAGACAGGAGCTTTCCCCAGCTCTAAACCACACTGCTCAACGTCAGCAACTGCAGAAGGACAAAATGGAAGTAAACTGAAAATATACTTGGATGCATTTTTTGGTAACCACTTCTGGTTTCACTCTCAGACCTCAGATTCAGAAATGGAAGCACACAGACATTGTTATTTCTGAGATACCCACACATTTCAGTAACAGTCAGATCATAAATGATGAACAAGAGTCACTTAAAAATAAACCAGACTTCATCAGTTGTATTCCAGGGAATGAACCAACACCATGCAGGCCTGGCCAGGAGCACCTTCCTTTGCAAACCAGGGAAGAGTTTCACTCTACCCTCAAAGGCAGGACAGCTCCTGCCAGGGCTCATCTCCAGCACAGATGAGTTAACATCACTAAACCCAGGAATATTTTTGGTATAGTGTCCCCCCCCCAACCCCCTGAACAGAAGCCCAACAGTGGGGACTGCATCAAACGACACAGTCCCAAATATTAAAGCAATTACAGTTAATAGAAATCCTTCACTTTGCACACCCCAGGCTGCTTCAGAAAGCACTGGAACAAACAGGAATAAAACATTACAAAGTTACCGAGACGAAAAGATGAAATCTGATCTCTTTAGACTTTGAGGTACATTATCAGCAGTTGGGTTATCAGTCTCCAGAGTTAAAACAGATCCACCCTGTGTGACTGGACAGCACAGCGAGGTTCTTGGAAGACAATCCCGTTCTCCCTGCGGCAGTGTCCCAGGGATTCGGCTCCACCTCCCTGCTCCGAGGGGTCTCCGGTGCCAGGGCTCCCCTGGCTGGGCTGAACTGAGCAAACTCGGGGGGGAAAATCGAGTGGAGTGTATAGAAATAATTCACAAACTGGTTTGTGCAAATTTTTTTTATTTCCACATTTATATCACAACGTGTCCACTTAAAGGACCAAATAGCAAAGTTGCTCCCTTCTGCATCCCAGGAACACAGAAGTCTAGTTACTGTACATTCACTAAGGCTCTTTGTTTTTGCAAATTGCGTTTATGATGGATATCCATAAGGCAAACAATATCTAAAGGAATGGTAACAAGTATATTTCCAGCATACAAACAGGCTTCCTTTTTCCCTCTCACAGTACAGTTACAAACTTGTAGCACCCTCATTACATTTAGATTCTAGAAAAGGTGATTTTTCTTTTTTTTTTTTTTTCCTTTTTGTCTTTTTGTTTTTTTTGTCTTTTTGTTTTTTACCTATAAGTTTGCAGGAAGGGAAAAGGAGGAAAAATATTTGGCTGGTGGTGGTGGGATCAAAAAATATCGTTAAACATCTAGTTTTTGCAGCATTTCTCAGAGACTGGATTTAAACTGAAACCAGACTAAAATATGTGGATGCCTATGGAATGTTGAGCTGAAGCTGGTGGCCCAGCCTGCAGTGCAACACCTGCTGTTTAAAACCCAATCTCCGTACCACATGACTCTTAAATAACGCAATCATGTTCAGAGATGTGATAGAAATAAAACTACAGTTTTTGCACATTGTCTCTCGAATATCTCACTGCCAAATAAAAACCCAAATCAAGTCAAATAAATAGATGCATATTTTGTTAAGGTAACTTCCACAATTTTTCTCTGTACCTGCCTGTAATAAGATTCCGGCATTCAGAAAGTGCTGGAAATCCTCTTCACTTCTTGGGGACTAACACTTTTTATAGCTGGCTCGCTATGGAGTTTTGAACTCAACTGATCAACCTTCGTATGCCTTCCTTTGCAATTGTTAGTAAACTGGTAGCAGCATTTCACAAAAGGAGAATTTAAAGGAACGAGCTGGAAAGGCCCAGCTCCCTCCCCCCTCTGCTCGTGGGGCCTGTTTGTCCAGGACAGGAGGCTCTCTCCAGCTGGAAGTGGCATCGTGTCTGCCAGTTCTGCTAACTGCAGGTGTAAAAAGCGTGGTTAGCAGAACTGCTCTCAGTCTAGGCAGACGTAAGGCAGGATGTTCAATCTCCCATCATCCCCATGTGGATCTAAGGATATGCACTGTGTCCAATCATACCAGTTACCCTGTGTGTCATAACAACCGTTCACGCCTGGCCAGTTGTGGTCACGTATTCTGTCGAGGTCATCGCCCGTGACCTCTCTGGTGACCCCAGGCAAGTCTGTAGGTTTGCTGTTAGGAGCTAGAACGTGAGTCTTTCTAGCCTCTTTTCTAGTGCTTTCCTCCTGCTTTAAATACTCAGACATGAAGTAGTGAGCTCCTGGAGTCTGTACTCCTGATGAAGACAGCAAGCTACTCTGTCTGTTTAAATATGACTGAATGATTTCATTTCTGGACAACTCTTTCCAGTTCGTTTGTTCAAAGGGGCTTTGCAGGTTGGGTTTTTGCTCCTGCTTTTCCGTTTCTGTCCTGTGCTGTTCAGTAAGTGCAGGGATTTCTACCTGCAAAGGATCTTTCGGTGTTAAAGGTTTTATCTGTCCTGTCATGGGATCAAAAGTGAGTTTTCTCTCTTTTAACCTCACAGGTTTCACACCCCCTTCTATCACGTGCCCATCCAAGTTGACTGTATAGTCTCTGGGTCGGTACCTTTTCTTCTTTTTGCTATCAGACCCTGAAGCAGCATCGTCACTGTCCATTCTGGAAGTGTCCTGTGGGAAGCCCATGTGCGATTCCCCGGGGTGGCCTTTGCAGCCGGGAGCCGTGTGCTGCTGAAGTGTCCCTGCTGTGTGCCTGTGCTGGCCCTCGGGGGCTCCCTGCTGCTCCTGCCAGTGCTGTGCCGCCTCGGGGGCCGCCTGAGGAGGGAACTCCAGTCTCTTGGCTGGCATGGGAGGTGTGGATGGTTGCATCAGGGATGGCGGCGGCGACGGCACCGGTGCGGCGTCTGCGAACTGAGACCTTTGAGATGGACTGGGCATCGAATCCTTTGGTGAGTACGTGGTGTGCTGCCGAGCAAAAGTATCATGCCTAACGTTCCTGGGGCTAAAGGAGGAGCAGCGTGGGCTCTTGGGCTGGTGGGGGCCCGTGGCTTCTTCTGATTTATCATGCTGCTGAAGCACTGCAGTCTTTAGTAACGAGGAAGTGCTTGAAGGTTTTACAAGTCCTGGAGAACTGGTGTGAGGTTTTACAGCATTTACTGGGATCTTATTGTGTTTATCGTTTTCACTGAGATCTGTCCTGCTGCTTTCAGGCCCTGCATGTAGGTTTATGTCTACAGGACTAGGAAAATTTTCAGGACTACCTCCAATTCCATTGGTTGGAGGGGGTGAAGAGTTTTGTAATACTTCATGACTAGCTTTGGAGACCTTTGGGGGAGGAGGGCCCTGATGCCCATCCCTGTGATCACCTTTCCTTTTCCTATTTCCCAGTTTCTCTGTTTTTGGAGAATTGAGTTTCTGGATATCATTCCTGCCTTTCAGTTCGCTGATGGGCTTGGCGCCGGGCACAGCGGGAAGTTGTGAGTCTGGTTTGCAGTTGTGAGCACCTCCATTTGCTGATCCTGGCGGGTTGGGCAGCCCCCTTGGCACTGGCTCGTTCTGGGTTACGGGTTCTATCAACTTCTGCCAATTCCTCAGCAATTTCTTGGCACGTTTGGCAAGTTCCTCATTGGATGTCTTCTTCCTCACCTCATTGATAAGCCTCCCGAGTCTGGTTTCCTACAAAGACAGACAAGGTGGTTTACAAACAAGTATGATTCCAAGCAAAATTCTTAAGGAATGTTTCTGCTTTGTAATGCTCACCCCTGAGAAACACCTGGTTAAAAACACTAAAGATTTAAGTGTTGAATTAATCTTTTTGGAAAGGATTAGTCCAGTGCTCTGCCACACAACATGAAACTGACTGTAGGTTTCAAGTCATGCTGTCTTTATCCCCTGGTAAAAGCAGGAGAGCTGGGAAAAACATCAGAAAGGAATTCTTTAATGAGAAAAAAACAGAATAAGGGTACAGGCACAGATTCGAGGAGAAATACAGCACCCAAAGGTGTGTTTATCACAAGGGAAGTTTAAGATCTGCAGAGAGCCAAAAGAAAAGAATTCCAGGATCTTTGCCTGTTACAGTAACTTGTTAACAATAAAAATTTCCATTTAACAAACCTGACTACCAGGTGTGAGTTGTGTCCTACCTTTTTTCTCCACCTCTCTCCTCTCCCTTCACTCCTCAGCCTCGTGGAAACGTATGAAAAAGCCATTTAAACACATTCCCAGGGTGTCCCAAGGAGGTTTCATGAGCGGAAGGAAGTGTTTGATTGTTCCCAAAGCACATTTGAAAACAAAGAACTGTTCCACAAGTCAGATTTCTTAAGAAACAGTACTTCAAAGGAGAACACAGACCAGACTGTGAGAGAAATATGCAACTTGTTGTCATAGATATGTTGAAATACAGGTGGAGTTGTAATTAAGCAACAGTTAAAAGCAGGAACACCGCTAATTTCAATACAAAGAGTGAAAAAGAAATATATAATTCAGCCATAAAACTTCTTTGGACTGTTTCTACAAGTGACCAGTGAGAGTCCAGCTCTCCCTACACCTGACCTCACCACAAATATCAGGCCTTGAAAACTGCTTAACTGCATTTAAGATTAATTTTACAGACCCAGAGCAACTCTATTCCTATTTCAGATTTTAGGTGCTTGGTCACCAAACGTCTACAAAGGTGACCGGAACTGCAGGGTGATATTGCTGAGTGCCACAGAATTAATCAGTGGCAAGTGATGATTAATGTAGTGCCCTGCACAAACAGGAACTGTGCTGCCCAGAATACTGATCTGGGCCCAGAAAGGATCCCTGTGTTCAGCGAGATGTCGGAAACAGCACGAGAGGGACAAAATAATATCTTAATTGTGAATCCTTTGCAATCTAGCTATTGTTTCCAGAAAAGCTCCAATGGAAATTAGAAAGGCAGGGAAAAGTCCTTTTATACATATAAAAAAAAATCATGTTCAGAGGGTGACATACCTCAAGTGCCTCTTTGGTAATGGGATATTTCTCCAGGCTGGAGATCACTTCCAGCACTGCCACCATGTTATGGATCTGCAACAAGGAAGACAAAGTCACTTCATGTTTCATGTACTGGTCTTAGTTAACAAATATAATTTAAGACCTTCCACTTTATAATTGCTGGAAGCATTAATCACAAACTGCTATCAGACTGTCTGGCTTTAGGGAGCTGATTGTTCAAGGAATAGGGACAAGGACACTTTTATTGACCTAGTTGGAAACTGCAGGAGCTGTAACAAACACATTCTTATGTAAAACCCAAGGAAACAGTGGCAATAAAACTGCTGTGGTGAGTAACAAAGTTCTGAGACCCCTCTGCAAAGCATCAATTAACTGTGCCCACCTAACGGGAACAAGTGCCAAGTGGAGCAGGAGCAGCAGTGGGAAATGTGGAGTCCAGCCCTTCAGGCCCCACTGCAGCCTGGCCCAGTCACTCTCTGCAGTTCCACTCCCAGGATCACTCCCTGCTCTGCACACAGGAGTCCCAGCCTGCAGGGCCCTCCTTGGCTGGGGCTGTGCCCAGCAGGTGTCCCCAGACCATCAGCCACTCCACCACCCCTTGCTGGGGCTGGACATGGGGAGGAGGAACTGCACAAAGCCACATCCCCTGAAAAGGTGAGGATCAGGTTCTCTGATCACAGCTGTGCATCCTGCACATCCTCAGCACTCTGTGATTTCAGTGGTCTCCATCAGAAACCACACACTGCATGTTTTAGGGGCTTGGTTTAGGGGTAAACATGGCAGCGCTGGGTTGGACTCTAATCTCAGAGAGCTTTTCCAACCCAAACCAGTTTATGATCCTATAGAGAGATCTTTGTTTCCATTACCTGATGTTAAGAGAGCTGAAACCTGGAATTTCTAATTCACCTTTGGAGATAGATTTAAAAGATAAGCAAAGGAAAACTTGAATCACAGTCTCATTTATTGCCTAATTGCATTTGTGACTCAACTGGATGTGAAGTGCATGTGAGAAAAATCTCTCAGCAAGAACCTCTGCAGGGATCCTACATCATCCTGAAACCTCATCAGGAGCATCATCATCATCATCACAGGCAGCTCTGCCCTCCCAGCCACACACTCCCCTGCATGAGCCCTCATCTTAAAACACTGACTTGTGTGAGAATTGGCTTTTCCAAGTCAGTTCTATCTCCACTAAGATCCCACAGGAACACCAGGAGCTGATCTCTCTTCAGAAAACCTTGGGCTCAGACCATGTTTTGTCCATCCCTGCAGGACTGTTTGGTGCTATTTAGGAGTTTAGTGCTATTTAGGAGTTTAGTGCTATTTAGGAGTTTAGTGCTATTTAGGAGTTTAGTGCTATTTAGGAGATACCTGGGTAATGCTGTCAAGTGATGAAACACTTGTCCTGATTTTTTGATTCATTTTTATCAAACTTATGTTTAAAGTCCATGCAGGCTTTGAATAATTCTGACTCCTATAGGGTGTAAAACCAACTCCAGGCCAAAGATGAATTCATTTGTCCTGGTTCTTTCTTCACTCTGCAGATATTTTAAGCTCTACCATGAGGTCAGGCCTGGTAAAACTCTGCTTAACCTTTAGAGCAGCAAGAGCACCTATTCTGACATATTTTAGTTCTTATTATTTCACTTCAGTGCACTGACTTTCTTCCATGTTTTGACCCTTGCTCTGCTCTCAGAGCCCAGGAAGGACAGTTTAGCACCACAGTTCAAGCAATACACATCAGGGTTGGTTTTTCCACTTTTTAGAACCAGAGCCCTTAGAACAGTTAAAGCTCAATTCTGGGAGTTTCCAGACAAATATTTTTAAACTTGCAAAACACGATACTCTCCTTCCCAACACATATTTTAGACTATGAATTACCAGAGTGAAAAAGGCTCTGTTGCACACACCATTAACTGGTACAACTATTTTTGCAGTTACTGGTAATCCCCAAATATTCATTATCTAAATGAAGAACTGATGGCAAAAAAAAGGATCATTGGCCTATCAGGTAGTGAAGAGAGGAAAGTGATACATTCATGTGCACACACACCTACAGAAAGGTGAAACTGGTCAGGGAATTTCCAGTCACAGCTTTGCCTTTGATCAATACCCCCAAGCACACACCAGTGGGTGCCCCAAATGCCAAACCACCCCCCCAGCACTGACAGGCTGTGACTTCCCTCCCTGCTCTGGGGGACACGTGCTGCCAATTAAGGACAGTGAAAGTGGCCTTGCACCCTCAGCTCCTGCTGGAACACAAACCACCCATTTTGGATTCCTCACACATTTGTAACCAATTGAGAACGCGCTGTCACGGAGCAACTGCTGAGCAGAGCACGAACATCTCACACCCCAGACAACTGCCAGCAGCTCCTCTCATTTTCCTTTTTTTTTTTTTTTTTTGACCTGTAAGGAAGCTTAATTCTTTGAAAATAAATGCATAAAATGTTCAAGCATGTTCAACAACTTCTCCTCCATTCCCCTTGTGTAGTTTTCTCAGAACGTTTCATCCAAAGTGCCATAAAGAGAAGCTTATAATAAAAATCACATTTGCCTATTTTAAAATAACACAGATGATTAAATTTCTTGTAGTGCAGTTAAATACAGTGATGGAAACAAGAGGATCTCCCAACCTGGAAGACACAGCAGAGATAACAGCAGCACACCCATCCTGCACAGCAGTACCTTCACCTCAAACCAACTGTTACAATAAAATTCATGCATTGTCACATAACCAACCTGTCAATAATGTTACCAAACCTGTCAGGACACCACCCTGCTTTGAGCAGCACCAGAAATGATCATTTATGAACACAAAGGGCTACTGAAGATGTTTATTGGGAACAGAACAGACAGGTGAAGTGCCACGGAGCAGAGCAGGATGGAATTCAGCAGCCCCACGACCAGAAATGATCATTTATGAACACAGGGCTGAAGATGTTTATTGGGAACGGAACAGACAGGTGAAGTGCCACGGAGCAGAGCAGGATGGAATTCAGCAGCCCCACTCCCTATGGACCCTGAGCTGTAACTGCCCAGGTCAGCAACTCAGGAATTTGCATTTTAGTTTCTACATGCCTTTGTCTGCTCACACTGCAACCCCTTAGTACCCCAAAAAAACTTCCAGGACCCCCATTTAGGAGCTTGCAGCAAATAGCTCCAAAGAATTGATAAGTAATTGATAAGGTGTTCCAAATTCCCCCGTGCTGCTCCCATGCTGAGAGCACTGACTGGCACACAGACTAATTCACTCCAAAGTTTACTGGAGAACATCTGCTTTGAGTCATCCACGATAATCCTTTCCAGCCAACCCTAATGACAGCCACAGAAAACAAATCTTATTTATTCCATGCAAGGCTCCTTAAGTCATCCAGCCATTCAGCCATACTCTGGAGCTTACTATTGCTGAGATCTTTTCCAAGTTAAGCACTGAATGCTTTTACTCCAGCCTCAGACAAAAGCAGGGGTTTCTGAACTCTCAGGAAAAGATCAAGAAGCTTAATTTTCTTTTCTTAACTGCCATCTTAATCTTATTTCAGTATTTAGAAAGCAGGACTAAGTCAGTGACTAATTTCAGGGAGTTACACAGTAGTTCAAAGGGGCTTTGGGGAAGGTTGAGGTACAGCTGCTCCCTCCCAGCTCCACTTCCACAGGAAATCTGAAAGCAGCAGCAAGCTCAGCATCCATACAAGCTCTACCACCACTTCCAGGTGCTGGGATGTGTTTTCTGGGGGAGCAGCACACTCCATGGGATGCTTTGATTCTCTTCCTTCACTTACACACCAGCCCAGACCCCAAAACCAAGGTGAGCACCCCCAGAACACCTTCCTGTCCCCCTGGGGACTGCCTGGACTCAGAGCACAACCTGCACTCCCTCACTGCAGCCTGAAAAACAAATGTTACAGAAACTTTCTATTGCAGACACTCAGATAAAGCAATTATTTTCTTTTTTTAATATTTCACAGGAATGTTTCCAAAGATCCTTGCAAGCCTGACTAGACCATGAGAAACAACAAACCAGCCCTGAGTTACCTGGAGTAGAAGGAGCAGCTGTTTCTCTGTAACACAAAAACTCAATGCACAATTCCAAAAACACCTTGCTCATGAAGATTCCTGCCTTTCAGGTAGAAAGGCTCTTTTCAACCACAAAGCTCAGGTACCAGTGCTAAAAGGCATCATGATACAGTATCATCATCCTTCTGGGTCACATTAGTGCCTTCACAGGTTTCTAAAGGACACAAACTTAGCCTGGAGTTGCCCATCACTGACAATCCTCTAAAAACAAAGTGTGACACCATCATCCTGCCGAAATCACAGCTTACAACAATCACAGCCTGACTCCACCAAGGGCATGGTGAACAGAGCACACAGGTATCATAACACACTGCTTTGGAGAGAATGCATTTGCCATCATACTTAACTACTTCAGCAGAATATCCATAAATACTCCACATTTCCACGGTTTCAGAGCAAGTAGTTCTGCAACACTGTCCCACCTGTAGCACCAAAGCAGTGTGACAGAAGCAAACAGAGAAGTAGAGACACTGTGGGAGACTGAACAGGTCTTTTTTCTTCCTACAAACACAATTCCAGGTGTCCATTGCCAAGCTGGAGGTTTCTGGTGGCAGTAGGGTCCAGACAGAAGTTTACAGGAGCATTTGTATATTTTTTGTCTTCCCAGGGCTGTGTATCTCCTCAGGGAGTGCTGGAAAATGTTCAGAAAAATCCCAGTTGAAGGTGAATATTGCTGGAGAGGCCAGGGAGGCAGAGCTGATTCCCAGGAGGTGCAGTGGTGCTCCAGAGCAGTGGCATGGCTGGTGTTTCTTCTCTTGGAGCTCTCAGTGTCACCTGCAGCCCAACAGCAGCTCCTGCTCCAGATCAGGGTCCCCCTCAGTGTCACACCTTGCCCCAAGACTGCTTTTGTACAAAAGCTACTTTTCTGCACAATAAACTAAAATATGAAATAAGAAGTGAGGAGAGAAAAGTTGCTATTCACAGGAGGCTTTATTTGAATGTGAAAACAGCAATACAGCATGGTGCAGTTTATTTAGCACTTTGTGTAGGAACTA